AGAGAGAGAGAGAGAGAGAGAGAGAGAGAGAAAGGTGGTAAAATGACGCTTCCTTCTCATCGGCCTCTCTTATTAACGAGCGGACGATAATATCATAAAAATGACTACTATAAAACCCGAAGAAACAAGATAAACATTTCTTGTATTCGTTAATATTTCCCTCGCTAATGCTTTTTATTTTCTAATTTTATGTTCTTTTTTTTTAATCATTACTCGCGCTTCATAAATCTACTACATCGCGAAGCTGAACTCTCCTCAAGTCTCTCTATTTATCCTCGATGGCTTTCCGCCGCTAATTACATCCGATTGCGCGATCGCCTTTCGAATCAAATCCCGACGCTCAACGCGCATCGGGGGCAACGCTCGCGGTCGCGTAATGTGGAGAACGGAATTCTACGAGAATCGAGCGGCGGAGTTTGCAGGCTATTAATATGTAAATTAATAACGACGATTGCGCCCCGGCCAATGTATCCGTCGCGATTGCGGCAACCGGCGGCCGCGCGGAACTCCCGTGTTGTGTCGTGCGCGCAATGCATCAACGCGCGCGCGCACGTGCCCGCCGCGGGATTGCCGGGCCTTGATTCATAGCACCCGTCGATCGCAATCGATTTATTATCACTCAATGAACGAGAGCGAAGCCTGTCTCCACCCGCAAATCCCTCATCTCTTTTGTTATGTCTCTCCGACTTCCCTCTGGACGTCTACCAAATTTTCTGTCTGAAATAAGACGTCAGCCGTTTGTATTTTTATATTATTATTTTTATATTTTATATTACTGTCGAGCTGTTTTCAGTCTTACGATTGACAAGCAAAGTAGTGTAATTGTAAACAATTATGCGTGCGATAAGATAAAATTTATCGACCATTTATTGTTGATGCAAAATGCGTGAGGCTTTCATAGAAAATGACGTGACGATTTCATATTGATGACATTACATGTTAACTCGCATAATCTTGTATATTTGTGACGTGATATATACTCGTTGGATTGGTGGCACCGGTTGATCAGATACTTTCGTGCCGAGTCAGAGTTTAAGTTTGTATAAAACTAGCCGAGCTAGGCCGGAGAAAGGAAGAGTAAATCATCAGTAAGCTTGATTTTGCAGTTTTTTACCGGCGTCAATAATAAATATACGCGGTATTGTGCGTCGTCGTGGCGAGCCGGTCTTCGGAAGTTTGAGGAATAATGGACGATTGAAAAAAGTCTAATCCCATTCTCTCATAATATATTCCGGAATACGTTTGAATATAGGATATACGCACGGTGAGAGCGTGTATACTTGAGAATTCCAGATAGTCGTGCCTTCTATTGTGAGCGCGCCGATGTGATCTCGTGCCGAGAGTAACGCCTACGTCAGGAATTAGCATATCGCGATCGTCCCTCGAGATTGGGCGAGCGAAAAATTCCGCGAGAATACATTTCCGAAATCTCTTCCGAAACTATCTAGTCAAGTTTCTCGTGCGCGCCTGAAGTACCGCATGTCACTTCGAGAAAATTTACTTATCAGCAAATTTACGAAATTGACTTGTACATTTTCTA